GCATTGGTTGATAAAAGTGCACGGCTGGTGGCCACCACCTAGCTTGGTGGGGTGGGAGGCAAGGGTTCAAACCTTGCCTCCTACCAAAATAGCACATTTAAAGTGGTTTGCTTCAAAAAATTCAGACGGGTGTGTTGTGCATCCATTTGGTCCGGTGGTGGTTCAGTCCCCTCCGGATTATTCCTGAACCGCCTTAGGTCCACCCTCTCCCTCTTAGTATAGAATAGATTAAGTTATGCAACTGTTGCCGTTTCCGAAAGAAAAAAAAAAAAAAAAAAAAGCTTAGCAGTCACCTGTACCAGTACATCATCAAAGCCACTTTCACAACACAATTGCAAACCAATTATAGTGCTTTATTTTGCAAAAAATTTGCCTCATCAAATTCTTCATAAAATACAAAGACAATCCTATCAATATCATGATACAAATGAGAAATTTTGGGTTCGAGTCCTCCTATCTATACTATTAAAAAAAAGGAAAAAAAAAAAAAAACCATGATGGTCTTGTAGAAGACTCTCTCGAGATGAAGCTAACCTTTTAGTACTGGTAATAGTATTGAGTTTATAATGCTTTTCCAAGGAACCCGCTGCTAACACGTCAGTAAGACAATAATCAACCTTAAAAATAATCTTTGATGCGTGCGAAGAGATTCTTTGAAAATGTGTTTCGTTCTTTCCACACCATGAAAACCACAAAGCTAATTTAGGTACAATACATCTAATGTGATGAGATACATGTACGAGGCCAGAAGGGAATTCTGCAAACTGGGAAGTAATGCCCGGCAAACTTGAACTGGAATCGAGCCTTCTGTTGAAATATGCGGCAAAGATTCAATCGAATAGCTACTAGCCAAATTATCTGAACAAGAAGAGCATTATTTGGAAACCAAAATAATTCCACGGACCTGAATATCCTCATCTCAACGGCTAGAGGGAATTCCATGTGATCTTCAAAACAATGGAAGAATTCTTCTTCTTTCTCACCTCCCCCCCCTCCCAAGCCGAAGCTAGAGTAAAACAACCAAAAGTAAACAGCTGCCACACCAACATATCTTCTTGATCTGATCAAACCCTAACTTCAAAATTGCAGCCACTATACGAAGAGGAAGCCGGTCATTCAGCCGAGCAACATTCCAATCGAAATTCATAAAAAAAAACTCAGCTACTAGACAATATGGTGGATAATCCATATCACAAACAACAGCAGAGGGTTCATCCAAGACCCATCTATCAAACCAAAAATCTATCATTCTCTACTCTACGCGCCAATCGATATTCACTTCAGCAACTTCTTTAATGTAAAACAAATGTTTTCAAACAACTTAACCCACGCAAGATTGAACTTGCGTTGGATGAAGAGCATGAAGATATTTCCGCTACGTCAACTTTGCTTAAACTGATTTTTTTTTTTCCTAAAATTCTATCGTAGCTTAATACTGAAAGCATGGATCTAAACCCTAGACCTCCTCTACTAGAAAACGTAAGTTTTCCCAAGAAGACCAGTGAATATGCCTCGAATTATCTTTAACATCTGACAGAAAGCTATTATACGTACATTCAATAGTTCTAACCACCGCTTTCGGAGGAGATAGCACTTGCAACAAGTACATAAGAATTTAAGAAGGGACATGTTTCAGTATAATTATTTTCCCACCAGCAGATAAGAATTTAGAATGCCAACCAGAATTCTCCCTCTGATTTTCGATACAATGCTGTCAAACATTACTCTCTTTGATCTACTCTAATATAAAGAAACTACCAAATAGGAAAAGGGGAGACATTGGCGTTGAAATCCCAAATAGAAGATACCATGCACATCTAGCAGTCAAGATCTTATCGGAACAAATAAATAAGCTATTTGCAACCTTGATCCGCTGATCAGATTAGTAGTGAGAAAGAAAGTACTTTATCGCCTTCAAACACCTCTTCAAGCAATGTGTAAAAATGATTGTATCATCAGCAAAAGCAAGATGCAAAACTTGACCTCCTGATAATGCAAAAAACATCCTCCTCCCATTTTCAAATAAATAAATCAATCCATGACCAAGATATTCAGCAGCTATCACAAATAAAGTTGGTGATAATGGATCTCCTTGACGACGAACACCACGAAAGGACTTTAAGAATCCCACAGCTCCACTATTTAAACTAATTGAAAACCAATTGTTGGAGACAATGCGAAACACAAGATCATTCTAATATTCGCTAAACCAGAAATCTCAATATTTGCATAATGAAAGGCCAATTCACCTAATCAAATGCTTTCTCTTAACACATTCAGTTCCTGGAGTTTCTTATCAATCTCAGCCACAAGCTCTTGAGCTAACAACATGAAATCATTAATTCGTCTTCCCAGAATAAATCCCGTCTGCAATGGGGACAGAAAGATAATTTATGGGAGAATTGTTGGGTTTGTGAGTCCAACCCATTTGTTGGGCCAAGTCACAATTAGAGCCCAAAGCCCGTGTTCATTTGGTTTCCGAGTCAGTTTCTGACTTGAGATTATAGCAAGTGACTAGTCAATTAACTAAAACTTGAAGTCGCACAAAAGGGAATAAATATCAACCTGTGAGATTAATTGCAATGTTATTAAACTCGAACCGAATAGCGATTTGGCTAAACTATTGAAGCAAGAGTCAACTAGTCAGATCGGTTGGACTGTTTTTAAAAACCCGCTCATGTCAACATGACGTCATAGTTATTTTATATATTTTTTATAAATTACAGAAATATTGAAATTAAGTTTTTAGTTATATTCGACCAATCATAAAAAATGTTTCAAAAATATTAGACTTGCAATCAAATATACACCTAATAATTATATATATAAATGTAAATTCATGGCTAAAATATGTCCATTCTCCAAAACTACTTGAAAAACTAAATTAAAACAAATTAATGCAAGTTGGAATCACTGATGCTAAAATGATAAGATCATATGGATAAAAACATTTTGATTTAGAGATCATTCAGGAAAGCGAATGATTTTGGTATTTACACTAAGTGGATGGCGTTTTCTTATTCCTATTAATAAATAAGACTCAAATTATGTTTGGGAAAAAGAAGAAAGAAAAGTTTGAAAATTGGGTCAACCAGTTGAACCGGGTCACTGGTTTAGTTAATTTTTGATGGTTTTAACCAAAGCGATTTTGTACTACAAACTAGCTCGGAAAGATGGTCGATTCATAGTCGGACCGGTCAAATCGACCGGACCGGTCTAGTCCGAATCTAACAACAGATTTAATTATTCCAGCCGTCAATCTTGTAAGTTTCGAGAAGAGAGAAAGAGTAAATTGGGGAGAAAGAAGCTAGAGAAAGAGAGAAGCACTGCAACTTCAAGGCCTTGATCGGATGGTAATTTGAAACCTAACTGAAATCAATTTTTAGGCAGGCGATCCTCTCGCCAAGCTCTATCCATCTATCTACTCCGATTTTGGATTTCTTCTTCACTTGGTAACATCCTTTCAACCCATTTCTATGGCAACTGCAGTTTTTGAGAGATGAATTTGTAACACTTTCAATTGGTTGACATTGATGATGTTGTTGTCATCTAGATACTCCACCTGTGTATGCCCATTATTATGATAGTGGAGATTTTGATTGGACTATGTCCTATGGTTTTTCTCAATTTGGGTTTTCCATATTAAAAATCTTGGTGTTCTATGCCTTTTACTTTGCATTTTATTGTTACTGTTGATCGTTGCTTGGTGATTTGGTTTATTTCTCTTTTAATTGGTACTTGGAGAAAGAGTAATTTGTCTTGAGTTAATTCTAATATTGTGTGCCTGAACTGGTACCCCTTTCCCAACAAGAATTGCATTTAATCTATTGCCTAACATCTTAGAGATGGAATTTGCCTAGTTTTTTTAAGACAGAAATGCAGTTTTAGCCATTGTATTTATAAAAAGGGTAAAAAACAAAAAAATCCCTTGTGGTAAATCTAATATATAAAAAAAGCTCATTGTGATTTCAAAATATACAAAACGACACCTCATGCTTTGAACTAAATTGTAAAGGTGACGAAATCCGTTAAAATTAACAAAAATGGCTTATTAGAACCTAAAAAAAATTTTTATATCTAATTTTTAACAAATATACTTGTTCTATCTCTTAACCCCCAATTCTCTCTCTCTAGAAAATGAAACGAATGATTTTGTTGAACTGTCTTTTGCTTAGTTATATTAGGGCATTTTGTCATTTCATCCATCTCCGTTAAATTTAACGGATTCCATCACCTTTATAATTTAGTTCAAAGCATGAGTTGTCGTTTTGTACAATTTGATACCATGGAGGACTTTTCTGTATATTAGATTTACCACAAGGGGTTTTTTCTGTTTTTTACTCTTATAAAAACTGGCGAAGGTAACTACCACCAATGTGAAGTAATATGATACCTTAAAAAAACATTGTTGTTTGGATGACAAAGTTTTATCCACCACTTGTAAGTTGTAACAACCTGTCCTTAACGTCTGGAGCAGGAACATTTCTTTGACTAAATAGATTTATATAATACTCCACCGCCATCTGCGTTACTTCTTCATAGTCCGTAATATTGGTCACATTTTAATCCTTCATCATGGTTGGGAGGTTAAGCAGGGAAGAAAGCAATGTCAATTAAGTTATATTATAGCTTCCAAATCACATGTTTGAGATTTTGTTATTGTCCTTTTCCAAGATCAGATTCATATTGGAGTTGATATTAATTTATTTTTCATGCTCACTGATGCGTAGAACCAAAGATAAAATTAATTTAAAAAAGCAAAAGAAACAAACCCAAACTTAATCCATAGTATAATACGGTCACAGAGATGATGTCATATATCACATATCTTGGTTTACAAATCCACTCAAACTCAAACTTAATTACAAGACATCAGAATTTTACTCCCACTATCTTGGTTGAAAAAGCACTCACAAACCAAATAGATACATATGAACACTTGATCAAGTAGAGAATAACAGCTACTACAAATCCATGTATAGCAGCGCTTGATAGTCTGATTAGTTATCTTCTTGAGAAATGAAAATGAGATCATTTTGAGATATCCAATGGCATGCTTCACTTTGGCCAGGAGAGGTTTTCAATACCTTAAAGGCCACGTGATTAGGGGACCAGTCTGAAGTATCCATATGACATATCACCGTGACTGTATTAATTGGAATTTTAGTCTTAGGTTCAAGAACATCCACTGCATACACTTCAGTTTTGGACAGCAAATGGCAGAAATATGTTGAAAAAGGAAGAAATAATTCATGACATGACACAGTTTTCCCAAATTTAAGCTTTTTCATCTGTCCAACTATCAAATCTTTTCCAGAACCCTTTGTGTTTTTTGAAGTCAATGCGACCAAATGGTTGTTACCTGTTGCAGTCTTTGCAAATTCAACCATATCTTCAAGGGATTTTACACAGCTCTGAATCTCATCCTTAAGAGCAGGAGTGTTGCAATAAACAATGGTAGATTGAATTGCATCTTTTGTTTGTGGGTTTTTCAAGGATTGAGGAAAAAGTTTTTGTAGGTCATTTTCTGCAATAGAGATCTTTGATGCAATTTGAGAAGGAAGAAATGAATGTTGAGGTAATTGGTTTTCCAAGTCTGGGAGATGTACCATGCTTCCTTGTTTGAGAAGCGAGATTCTGAGGAAAGAAGAGGGATCAACATGCTGCACATGAGATGGGCTAATTCTGCCATAGCCATAAAAAATATTGTGCATCAAATTATTAACGAATGATTTGGGCGAACAAGCTAGGTTTGCAAGAGAACAATGATTTGCATTGAATGGAAGATTTTTCTTGGACACTAATGAAGTGAAATGTTCAGCTTGCTCCTTATTCAATGGAGATAGTTTGGACAGAAGATTTCCAGGCATGGTACCTTGGACATTTTCTGACCAATATTTGAGCTGATTCAACGCAGTAAATGAAGAAGATGGAGTGTGTGCACCAAAAAGGGGTGTAGGAAACGTGAGGGCAATGACAAAGAGAACGATAGCAAACCCTGAAGAGGCCATTGGTTTCAACGAGACTACTATAGTATTGGTACTAATTTGCTTCAGTGGATGAAGTGATGATGAGGACTTAGCTAGTGGAGCTGCTTATTTATACTAGTAGTCAAGCCTCATGTTTGCAAATGCTGTAGTTTCCAAATGTATGTGATGTTCACGAATCCAGAAAAATGAAAGTAAATAATTGAAGAAAAAAAGAAAAAGATTCATCCGGATTGACATTTTGCAACTTTTACACTTTGGCATCAGAATGGATTAAACATAATAAATACCATAGCATTTGGCGTGTTTGGTGACATGGTCTAGAACATTATTTTTATTCCACTTTACTCCCTCAACTGGCGACCGTAACACCTAAGATATTTGTTAGCTAAAAGACATTTGTAGTCTGAGAGTGTGATTTGCAATATAGTCCCTCACATTTGGTGCGTCTTGCAATATAATCGCAAACATAATTGTTGCAGTAGGTTAATCTATAAAATGGTGGTAAATGCTGAGCGTTCAAAATGACAGAGATTTTGTTAGTCAAAAGACATTAACATCCTTGCATTAGACGAAGGTAACTTGATTGCGATTTGAACTTTTTTCTTTTCTTTTTTGTTTTTCGAAAAGCCCATGAAATTAATGTCACAAATGCATGAGGGATGGTGCATGCTGTTGAAGCCAAAATGTCATTAGTGAATTCCTGTAATAACCATCCCTTCCTGCCCATTTTCTTCTACCATAAGTTTGCTGAAGGAGTGGACCTGAACTCGTTAACAGCTGAGTTCAAACTGGCCCTCCCTCTTCTCTTTTAATCATTCAGTGCCATTTGTTGTTGTCACAGTAAGATGTACTGGTACGACTTACTAGCGGGACTATCTTGAGCTCCAGAATGTAGCAATATCTGTGACAGATGAAAAGCATCACATGATATTTTCTCAAGTACATGTTGAATAGATAGAGAGAGAGAGAAGGTAAAGTAAATCCCCTTGCAACAAATTGTCGGTCTTTGGGGCTGCTACAAGTGGAATTCCTTGGCAAGGTATGTTGTAAAATATATAGTATTTTAAAAAAATATTCTTTGTCCCACGTCGAAAAATGAGAAATATTGCTTTCTCTGTCCCACATTGAGAAGTGAGAAGAGTTGCAGTCTTTTGTCCCACATCGGAAGTGAGAAGGGTTGCACCTCATTCTAAAATCTATAAATAGGATCCATTCCCTCCTTAGAAAATCACCCCAGCAGCTTCAGTTGATATCTTTTGATAACTGCTCTCTCTCTCTCTCTCTTTTATTTTTTGTTAGTTGATATCTTTCTGATAATTCTGTTCTCATCTTTTTTTTTTTTTATATATATATCTACTGGTTTTAATTTGCTAGTTCTGGTCCTTCTAGTTTGCAACAAGAAGAAAGCTTGTCTTTCTTGTTCGCAATAAATAGAAAAAGGCTTGTTTAATTCTTGGGAAACATTTCAATTTCATGAAATAGTTTCTTAGGACAGTGCTACGTACGACTCAAGCAGATAGTGTTAACATTGTTGTAGCCATTTATCCAACAATCTAAGAAACTATGGCCTCCGACAGTGTTAACACCCCACAACCATCCTCCGCAGCAGTCGCAGTCGCACTACCTTTTGCGAAACCATTTCCTGACGTCTCTAGAATTGAGGTTTTTGTTGATGAAAACTTCAAAAGGTGGCAAGAACGTATCTACTCTCTACTCAACATACATGGAGTGGCCTATGCACTGACAGAATCTCAACCTGCTGCCACCGTAGATGTCAAGATACAAGAGTCATGGCAATATGCCAATAAGGTATGTCGACACACAATTTTACAAACGTTTTCTAATGAGTTATTTGACATATTCTGTAGCTGCAAAGAAGCCAAACAAATTTGGGAAGCGTTGGTAACGAAGTTTACCGCTGAAGACACAACCAAACAAAAATTTGTTGTGGGAAAATACAATCAATGGCAGATGACCGACGACAAAGAAATGAAAGCTCAGGTCACAGAATACCAAATGTTACTCGAGGAGTTGAAAAATGAAGAGATCAAACTACCCGAGAAATTTGCTGCAGGCATGCTAATTGAAAAGCTACTCGAGTCATGGGCCGACTACAAAAATAACCTGAAGCACAAAGAAGAAAATTACACAAATGATGAACTCATGAAACACATCCTGATTGAAGATTCACACAGGAAGGAGTAGAGAGCTACCAAAATAAAGGAGATGACATTTAAAGCTAATCTGGTACAAAGCAACAACAAAAGGTACGCCAATAAATCCCAAAGTAACAAGTCTTGGAATCCCAACTACAAACCAAAGAATCCCAATTTTAAGAAAAAAAAGGCAATTGCTACAGTTGTGGAAAACCAGGTCACCATGCTGCTCAGTGCAGATATAATAAAGGTGACAAAGCAACTGGTAATCCTTCTAAGGCTAATTTGGTCGAAAGAGATGAAATAATTGCTGCAGTTATCTCACAAGTAAACATTGCAGCCAATGTGAAAGAGTGGGTGGTAGACTCTGGAGCTACTCGGCACATATGTGCAAATCGAGAAGCGTTTTCCTCTTATACTCTAATAGAGGATGATGGAGAAGTAGTCTACCTTGGAGACTCACGAACTGCTAAAGTTCTTGGTAAGGGTAAAGTGTTCTTGAAACTTTTTTCAGGAAAAACTTTGGCCCTTAATGATGTGCTGTATGTTCCAAATATTCGGGCAAATCTTGTTTCTGTAGCTTTGCTCGGAAAAGTTGGGGTGAAAGTGTCATTCGAATCTGATAAGATTATAATGACAAGAAATAATGTGTTTGTTGGGAAAGGCTATTGTAACCAGGGACTTTTTGTACTTAACATTTCCAATGTGATCAATGAGAATGCTTCTTCTTCTGCTTATATTATTGATTCAATTTCTTTATGGCATGCAAGATTAGGACATGTTAATATGAGTTATATAAAGAAAATGCAATCTTATGGTCTAATTTCTGGTATTAATGAAAAAATGGACAAATGTGAGATATGTACAGAAACTAAAATGACAAAGAAGACTTGTATAACTGTTCAAAGAGAAACTGAACTATTAAATTTAATCCACACAGATTTAGGTGATTTGAAACAAACTATGACTAGAGGAGGAAAAAGATATTATGTTACTTTTATAGATGACTACTCTAGATATACTAAACTTTATTTACTTAGAAATAAAGATGATACCCATAATGTCTTTTTATCTTATAAGTTTGAGGTAGAAAATCAACTTAATAAGAAGATAAAAAGAATTAGGTCTGACAGAGGAGGCGAATATTTAGCCTTAGATAAATTTTGTGAATATGAAAGCATAATACACGAAATGACACCTCCTTATTCACCCGAATCTAATGGAGTAGCTGAAAGGAAAAATAGAACACTAAAAGAAATGATGAATTCTATGATAGTTAGTTCTCATGCTCCTGATAATTTATGGGGAGAAGCTATCTTATCTGCGTGTCACTTACAAAATAGGATACCTCATAAGAAAACTGGTAAAACCCCTTATGAGTTATGGAAAAATTATAAACCTAATTTGAAATATTTGAAAGTATGGGGGTGTCTTGCTAAAGTATTGTTGCCTGAACCTAAGAAAAGAAAACTAGGTTATAAATCTTCTGATTGTATGTTTATTGGATATGCTGAACGTAGTGCTGCATTTAGATTTCTTGTTTTAAGAAGTGATGTGCTGGATTGTAATACAATTATTGAGACAAAGAATGCCGAATTTTTTGAACATATTTTTCCACTATCTAGTAAAATTTCTCATGCACCTGTTGAAATAAATAAGGAAATTATTCCAATTGAGGAATTAAGAAGGAACAAAAGGCCAAGAAAAGAATTTTCATATGGAAATGATTTTCAAACCTTTCTTATTGATAATGATCCTTTAACATACTCCGATGCTATTTCTTCTCCTGATCGTAAATTTTGGAAAGAAGCAATTAAATCTGAAATTGATTCTATCTTGACAAATAAAACTTGGATTTTAGTAGACTTAGCTCCTGGTGCAAAACCTATTGGTTGCAAATGGATTTTTAAAAGAAAATATAACTCTAATGGCTCTATAGAAAAGTACAAAGATCGTTTAGTAGCAAAAGGATTTTCTCAAAAATAAAATATTGACTATTTCGATACATTTGCACCAGTAACTAGAATTGCATCTATTCGAGTTTTATTTGCTTTAGCTTCTATCCATAAACTTGTTGTTCATCAAATGGATGTCAAAACAGCCTTTTTAAATGGTGATTTAGAAGAAGAAATTTATATGTTTCAACCTGAGGGATGTATTGTATCTGGGCAAGAAAATAAGGTTTGCAAACTAATTAAATCTCTTTACGGTCTGAAACAAGCTCTTAAATAATGACATGAGAAATTTGATCAAGTATTGATAAAAGATGGATTCTCATCTGTAGAAGTGGATAAATGTGTGTACGTGAAAATTATAAATGATCAATATGAGATAATCAGTTTACATGTGGATGACATGCTTATATTTGGTACTAGTCTAGATATTGTAAATAGTACTAAATATTTTTTGTCTTCTAATTTTGATATGAAAGATTTGGGTGAAGCCAAAATGATACTGGGTGTTAAAATTTTAAGGAAAGGTGATGGTATAATGTTGTCACAAGAACATTATACAGAGAGACTTCTTAGGAAGTTTAAAAATTATGATGTGACACCTGTGAGTACTCCTTATAACGCTAACACTCAATTAAAGAAAAATAATGGTGACCCAATTGCTCAGTCTAAATATGCTCAGATTATTGGGAGTCTGATGCATCTGATGAATTTCACTAGACCTGATATAGCTTATGCTGTATGTAGATTGAGTAGATATAGTCATAATCCCAACCGTGAGCATTGATTTGCATTAGTCAGACTAATGAAATATTTGAGAGGTACCATGAATTTTGGTATCCTGTATAGTGGATTTTCCACTGTATTAGAGGGTTACAGTGATGCTAATTGGATCTCTGATTCAAATGATACA